AAATTCATTATTATTATTATTATTATATTTATCTAACGTCTATAATACAAACAGGGACTATGTCATTGATAATGACTTGCTATATAAATGCCTCGAACATATCACAATTTCATCGCATTGATCTTTCAAATCAAATTGTATAGACATGATTCCAGATGAGACTGAGAAATTTGTGGCTTAGTACTGTATCTGTCAATCATTCCAAGGTGTGAAGATAAATACTGTAACAAATACATGATAATGGAATCGGTAAACAACTAGTAACCCAGTTTGTTGTTTGCTTTGCATTTACATTAAATGATTTAATTATTAATACCTGGTAAATGTTCAGTGCACAACAAGTGTGCACACAAATTTACAACCATGGTTGAAAAAGTGACCATCCTTCTATGCAGCAGAATGGATGGGTGTCCAGTCACAGTTGAATGACGTAGCAATTTAAAAAGCTATGTAATGTGGTCTGTGATTGCAAACCATCTAAAGTATTATTAGAAGTTTAATCCTCAGTGAATGTAGTTGTATTCGCCATATGTATTGTACAAATAAAATACTGAATACAATAACATTTAATATTAGGGATTTCCGGAAATGGACCTCAAAGTGGTGATTTATTTATTAAATTACTACCAGGAAAAAATAGCCAATTATTCAGACAATTCATAAGGGTAAGTTATTGGATAGATTAATCACCATCTACATTTAGAATCTCTCTCTGGTCCACAATTGATTCACCAAAAGAATTTGCCAAAAAATTAATGGACACAATCAACCATTAGCTAAACAGTAGCAAATGAATCAGAGATTCGTTTCATGATCTGTCAAGAAACAGCCCCCTCTACATTTAAAGCTCTTTCTGTTATTCACAAACGAGTCACAATACGATAGTTGGCTAAATACAATTTATTTTTTTTCAAGTAGAATTTAAATGACTGGATTTAGAATGTTTGTTAGTATATTTCTGCTGTACTTTCATGTGATCAGCTGTTTATTGTATTCTATGTTTTGTAAAAGGCAAAACAGATAGTTGGCAGAGTAAAACATAAAACACCCTACTTACAAGAGGAAGTATTGACTGATGTGGGGCTCACAAGGCCGGATACCAAAGAAAAAAAACAAGACTCTCATCCAATGACATCACCTGCCAATGTACAAGACATCCAGCCATCAGCTCCACCTTTATCTCCTGCAGAACAGAGGTTATCTGATGAACTAGTGAGTGCTTTGATTTATTATTCATGTGTTCGCAGAGCAAAATAAGGGGTATTTTTAAATTGATGTCCTCCTTTCTGCTTTCCTGCTTGCCTGCCCAAATGCCAACCTGCTTGCATGTCCATTCACTGACACGCCTACCATGTATAAGCGCAATCCTGTATAATCATTCCTGTCTAAAGTGAAAATGATTTTCTATTCATAGTTTTAATTTATTACTAATACTTTAATTACTTTTTAGAATAAGTCATATTTGTTGTTGCATGTACTGCTAGGAAATGTATGTATACTGATATTATTTTGCTAGATGACCTAATATCTATAGTTATGAATACTGGTAGATACTAACACCATTATTATCTTAGTTATGTATAATACCGTAAAAACTCGATTAATTCGCGGTAGTAAAAATAATTATTTTTTCAAGTGCACGAATTAATTATTGGTTTTTGGTGCGCGAATTAAAAGAGTACTTTTAAATCGATTAAAAAAAAAGCTGTTTTCATAAAGTTATTAGTGATTTGTTTTGTTTTCCAATTAACACAATTACAGGACGTTTTTTTAGTGCCTCTGAAACTCGTGGCTAGCTACATTCATGGCGTATAGTCGGGTAGAGAACACGTACTGCGTCAAGGACCACGCACCATGTTACACTTGAAATGAAACAGTGAAATGGCAAAGCTCACTCTGTACACAAACAAACAATGAACACGTGGCTACAATGTAGCTGTCTGGCTGCACTGCCTTTTTTTATTTTTCTAGGCATCACCCGGGCGATATTATGGCAGATATTACGAAGCCCATCTTGTCTGGAAAAATAACCCTGCGTTGATAAAAATGATCTCAGAAAATGTTTAGAAAAAATAATGTTTTGTCATTGACCAAATATAATCATGCAAAGTATAAATTCAAAGTGTTTCAATACATTGATCAACAACAAAACAAATATAATGACACATGGTTAATGAATCTGCATAAAATAAAATAAAACAACTGTATAATATTAAAAATTTAGAAACAATTAAAAAAGACCAGTTTAAACAAAAAGTGAATGAATATTACAATTATAAATGGAACCAAGATAATCAAAGACCAGATTCAAAACTAAGAACTTATACATTGCTGAAGAAAAATATAAATACTGAACCATACATTAAAATCCTTCATAATAAAGAAAACCTTGGTCTATTAGCAAAATTGAGACTAAGTGCCCATAAACTAAACATCCAGATGGGAAGGCACAAAAGACCAAAAATAAAAACAGAAGACAGAAAATGTACTAAATGCAACCTACTTGAGGATGAAATTCATTACCAAACAAAATGTAAACTTTACACAGATGAAAGAGAGTTGTTATATTCACATTTTTCAAAGAAAATTAACAATTTTCAACACTGTAAATGTACAAACAAAGAAAAATTCATTCCTATATTGAATACAAACAACAAATATTTACTAACAGAGCTTATCAAATTTATAAAAACAGCAAATACCATTAGAGAAAACCACCTAATGGGTCATTATTATTTTTTACATTATTCCATGTATCTGTAGTGTAATAGATATTAGATATCTAACTTGTTTTGTTTATTTTAACACTTTTATTATATTTTATAAACCAAAATAGATATGTAATTCATTCTATAAGGTTGTAATAAAGAATTATCTTATCTTATCTTATCATTGGTGAGAGGTCGCATTTTACGTGAACAAGAACATGCACTAAGAAGGGAAAGCAAGCCAAAGTCGAAACGGGGTGCATCATGGACATGACACAACACACGCTGCGACAACTGAGTGATCAGCGACATCATTTTGGGACGCAATTGAACTTCAAGTACTTCTTTGCGAAACTTGCTGGGCGGCAATGCTGACGTCAAGTGTATGTTGACCGAAGTTTGACCTCAAGTCACGCACTGAACTGGCGCGTTACCTTAGCAACCTTTTTTTTGTGTGCCCCGTGCATCAATCTAGTAAAATTGTTATTACGGTATATCCGAAGGTACTGTAATTACGCAACTTGTATGCAACTCTGTACTGGCTTTGAATATATCAACGTCGTTTACTTAGTGCACTGCTTTTCTAATTACGCAAATTTGTTCACAATATTGTACCGGCTCTGAATATTTCAACTTCGTAATGTATTATTGCTTTCATGATAATTAGTTTTTTTTAACCACGCGTTTGAATTACGTGCGGCATTGGGCAATGACCTCCAGAGTTTATGCACTGATATTTAAATTTGGGCCACCCAGCTTGACGCAAATCAATATAGTTACTTGTCATTTGTTCAAAAAATCTTTCAACTCTCACAAATACCATGGACACGAAGAGTTAACTGGGGGTTAAATGAAAAGGAACGTCTTTCTTGGACAAAAAATATGTCAGTACAAGATTATGTGTGCAAGGTTAGATTTATAGAACATACATGACCACTTAACTCTGTGTTTTTTACCAAAATTGGTATAATGAAAATGTAACACGAGGTCAATCGCCCGACCAATCAAAAACGTCAATTTACGCACCATAGGGTGGTTCACTTAAATGACGTAATAGAATAATGGCAGACACATGGTCGATGCAACCCTGTGGACCAGCGACGAAAAAGTCCTGTACTAAGCTTTCCATCACGGAAATTGGTAATCGATGTGCTGACTGATGGATTTTTATCGACTAAGTAATAATCTTGCCCAACATCTGTAGTGTCGTGGGGGAATGATTTTTTTCAGGTCAAATCTTTACCGAACGTAAACTGCTTGCTAACTGCGGCTACACCAAGTACCGGTACTGGTAACATAAAAACTGAAACAAAATGTATATTTGTACTGTCTTCATGCAATATATTCTGAGTTATCCACTTTATCCTGGCCCGCGAATTAATAGGATACATTTACAAATTAGCGTTCGAAAATAAAATGGGTGCGTGAATTAATAGAGACCGTGAATTAATCGAGTTTTTACAGTAGTACCGGTAGTATTTTGGTATATGCTTTTACCTAATATTACATAGTTACAAATACTGGTAGTATTTTGGTAGTTGCCACCACCTAATATACATAGTTACAAATACTGGTAGTGTTCTGGTAGATACTAACACTTAATACCCATAGTTATGAATACTGGTAGTGTTCTGGTAGATACTAACACTTAATACCCATAGTTATGAATACTGGTAGTGTTCTGGTAGATACTAACACTTAATACCCATAGTTATGAATACTGGTAGTGTTCTGGTAGATACTAACACTTAATACCCATAGTTATGAATACTGGTAGTGTTCTGGTAGATGCTACATAGTGATGCATGCTAGTAGTAAACATAACACCTAACATATCCTAGATTTATGCTGATATGCACCACCTGTTTTTCCCAAATCAACAGTTTTAATGAAGCCTGTGTAATCTGGACACCTGTCAAAACTGAAGCCGCTGCAATCTGAACCCTGTCTAAACTGAACCCTGCATAATCTGGACACCTGTCTAAACTGAACCCTGTATATTAATTAAAATTGGAAACCTGTCTAAACTGAACGCTGTATATTAAAATTGGAAACCTGTCTAAACTGAACCCTGTATATTAAAATTGGAAACCTGTCTAAACTGAACCCTGTATATTAAAATTGGAAACCTGTCTAAACTGAACCCTGTTTATCTGTTTATTGAAATTGGACACCTGTCTAAACTGAACTCTGTATATTAAAATTGGAAACCTGTCTAAACTGAACCCTGTATATTAATTAAAATTGGAAACCTGTCTAAACTGAACGCTGTATATTAAAATTGGAAACCTGTCTAAACTGAACCCTGTATATTAAAATTGGAAACCTGTCTAAACTGAACCCTGTATATTAAAATTGGAAACCTGTCTAAACTGAACCCTGTATATTAAAATTGGAAACCTGTCTAAACTGAACCCTGTATATTAAAATTGGACACCTGTCTAAACTGAACCCTGTATATTAAAACTGGACTTTCTAAACTGAACCCTGTATATTAAAATTGGAAACCTGTCTAAACTGAACCCTGTATATTAAAATTGGAAACCTGTCTAAACTGAACCCTGTATATTAAAATTGGACACCTGTCTAAACTGAACCCTGTATATTAAAACTGGACTTTCTAAACTGAACCCTGTATATTAAAATTGGAAACCTGTCTAAACTGAACCCTGTATATTAAAATTGGAAACCTGTCTAAACTGAACCCTGTATATTAAAATTGGAAACCTGTCTAAACTGAACCCTGTATATTAAAATTGGAAACCTGTCTAAACTGAACCCTGTATATTAAAATTGGAAACCTGTCTAAACTGAACCCTGTATATTAAAATTGGACACCTGTCTAAACTGAACCCTGTATATTAAAACTGGACTTTCTAAACTGAACCCTGTATATTAAAATTGGAAACCTGTCTAAACTGAACCCTGTATATTAAAATTGGACACCTGTCTAAACTGAACTCTGTATATTAAAATTGGAAACCTGTCTAAACTGAACCCTGTATATTAAATTGGAAACCTGTCTAAACTGAACCCTGTATATTAAAACTGGACTTTCTAAACTGAACCCTGTATATTAAAATTGGAAACCTGTCTAAACTGGACCCTGTATATTAAAATTGGAAACCTGTCTAAACTGAACCATGTATATTAAAGTTGGACATCTGTCTAAATCAAACTCAGTGAGATCTGGACACCTGTCTAAACTGAACCCTACGTGATCTGGACACCTGTCTAAACCTGAACCCTACGTAATCTGGACACCTGTTTAAACTGAACCCTACGTGATCTGGACACCTGTCTAAACTGAACCCTACATAATCTAGACACCTGTCTAAACCTGAACCCTACGCAATCTGAACACCTGTCTAAACCTGAAAACTACTTAATCTGGACACCTGTCTAAACTGAACCCTATGTAATCTAGACACCTGTCTAAACTGAACCC